CGTTTCCTCCGCGAGAGACGGGTTTACAAATGACAGTTGATGTTCAATTTTAAAGCAACACAAATATTTGTCTACATTTGCGCTACTCCGGTTCACGTTGTGTTTCCAGAGGACCTGTTTGTGGAAGGGGAGTGACAGGAAGTGGAGTTGAAAGGCCTGGAGTGAGACAGTTAAATGCCCCTTGCTGCTCTGGATAATTAATAAATAAAGTACCAGGGGAGTCCTGTCATGGCTTCCTCTATGACAGGGCCTGTCTCCAGTGCGCTAAAGCATTAAATGACCAATTCCTGTCAGGCTAACTTCCACTGCACTCCCTTGGCGCCCTTTCCCTCATTCTTCCTCTATCCCCCTCACACACTGTCTCTCTTTCCTCCAAAGCGAAGCTCCTTCGCTCTCTTTGCTCCGAGTTTTTCAGCGACTGATGGCTCTAGTTCATTTCTGCTGAATTAATTGGTCCCTGAATGAATTCTGTTGACAGGGCAATTCATCATGTGTTTGGCCTGACAGTGACTGGGGTGCTGGGAGTGCGGTGGTGGTGGAGACGAGGGTGAGGGGTGCTGCAGGAGAGGCTGAGGGTTACAGGGGGGAAAAGGATGGGGGTTGATGGTTGTGCCCTCTCCTCTACCCACTCCCCATTATTCCCCCTCTATTATTAACAGGAATACCCCGCATCACAGTTTGCTGAATATTTCCCTATTGGTTGCAAACAAACATGCCTGGCTGACAGGTCCAGCTGATGAGGGAGCTCTTTTGTCCTCTTCGGAGGATATTCCCATTACTGCCCAGTCAGGTAGCAAGCTCCGTTAGCCCTGCACATCAGCACCTGTTATGTAGGACCTGACACATCCACTAAGTGAGGTGTATTGCATCAGGCTTTAATTGCATCATGTATCACACAATAGCCATTAGGGTAATTATTTACTGTTGAAGGGTAAATGAGTTTTGGTGCAGGACTGAGGCGGCCAGAGAGGGCAGCTCTGCTTGTTCTGGAGGAAGATTAGTGTTCACCTTGACTTTAAAGCTTCAGAAAACCAGCTTCAACATTCTTTGTGTTTTCAACATCCGGTCTGAGGACACTGGGTTTTTTATGTCTATCTTCCATCAGCTTTAGTCTAAAGAAAAGAGCCCTAGTGAACACATTTGTTTGACAGCCCTGATAAATATACAGTATATTATACCAAAAAGAAACACTGTAGTTAATTTTGTATGAAAATGAATTAAGAAAGTACTGTCTTTCATTTAAGTACTTTTGGAAAAGTACCGCTCTGTTGTCCAGCTGAGAACTGTTGGTAATTTCAGTCCAGTAATAGTCGTGCAGTTTTTCTCCATCCTCAGCTTTTAAAAGTAAAATACTTCATATTATTTTGTTATCTTTGTTTTTCTTCTTGAACATGGCAGAGCTTTTTCCACACATTCTTCGCATCAACTGGGTCAGAGGCTCCTTTAAAAAACAAAAACTTTCCGGACACTTACACCTCACTCTTCCCTTCTCCTCCAGTCCTTACTCCTTTCCTTTACACTCTCCTTCTTTCAGTCAAGCGGTGACACTTATTATGTCCAATCAATCAATGCTCACTCATTAGGAACCTCCCCTCAAGTATCCTCTGGATGGCCTCACACAGCAAGAGTCAAAAATTACCTCATAATTGCTGCTCAGGCATCATAACAAGCTAGGCTGCCCCTGTGACACAGCCATACAAACAGGTCTTACACAGGAATTGATGGATACTGGAGAACTGTATTATATATTGCCAAATCCAATTAGATACAGCACATAAAGCAGCAGATCCATTCCCTCTTTCATAATGTCCAAACTACTACTCAGATATAAAGACGTGAAATGCATTTTCATATTTTCTTCCACCCCAAACCCCCCCCTGCGCCCCGCTCCGACGCCCATCTCCTCTTCCACCCTCGTCTTGGCGTGTCACCGCAAATGATAACATCCTGAGGATTTATTGTACATTTGACACACCAGTAACCAAATTATAATTCACCCGGCTGCCGCAGCACAGCCGTAGAAACGCCACGCGCGGAATCGTGTGCAGCTGATTCAGTCGGGGATGTATTACAGTAGCGTGGAGCAACTCCAAAGGTCAACACGTGGATCTGACACCGGGGCTTCAGGTTGTACACGACGAGCTTCACCCTCGCTACAGACGACAAAAGGAGCGCGTCTTCCGCCGCTGCTGCTTACCCATTAGTACGCAGACTGTTCCTGGCACGTGAGCAGCATCAGCCTGTTTCCTCTGGAGAAATCCAGGTGTACACATAAAGATAATTACTGCTTATCCATCGAGGAGTAATAACATTAATGTCACAGTTAGACACAGGTAAAAAAAGTAGGATATAAAAAGATGTTTTTCTCTCTCAAATTAATTAAGAATCATCGCAGCGGAGCAGCTGCTTTCATATGTACAGTAAATCAACATTTCACTGCTTGTGCATAAAGTTGATTACAGCAGCAGTTTCCATCTGAGTAACGAGTTTAGATAAAAATTGTCACTTTATAGGCAATGTCAATGTCATCGTTAGGCTTTTAGTGTTTTTTCAGCTGGATGTTTGATGGGCAAAGACAGATGCTGATTAGAGCCAATCAGATCGCCCCACTGTTCCTGTACAGTAAATAATATATATTTATATTCATGCGGATGCTGTTGTCATCTGGCATACTGCAGTCAATTGGAGCTTGATTGACAGATACACTCAGGTTCACAGTTTATTGGTTTCAGAGGAGAGAGCCAGATATGCCAATTTAGACAGTAACGTGACAAAAAAAGTTTCCATCTAAATTCCGCTTCTGGGAATTCTCAGCTGGGGAGAGTCTATCTCCACCTTCCTCCTCCTCCTCCTCCTCCTCCACTTTTCCTTCTTCCCTCCGACTCTAACAAGGGCTGTGAATGACAAACATATATGACAGTTATGGGCTGACAGAACATCAGCTTTTGATGCTTCACAGGGGAGCTATGAAATAAACAACAGGCAGAGAAATTGAATTACAAAGTGAAAAGTGAGTTTCTAACACTTTCTTGGCTCAGAGGCAGCGACGTCCGACAGAATCAGCTCTGCTTATGGCTTTGAGGAGGCCTTAGTTCATTTTTGTTAAAGTTTAAGGAGTCAAACCTGCAACAGTAAGAATGACGTTCACCCAATTGTATAATAGCTAGCATTTGTAATAATGTAATAAGCTTTAAAACTGTAGTACCAGAAGGTCAACGTTCTTTTGTTTGTTACAGTACAGAGTGCAACAGTAGCATTTATATTTGAAACAGGCTTCTTTATCCTGCGTTGCCACTCTGGTCCAAGTCCTTTCGCAAATCGGCCAGTGCTAATCAGGCCAGTGTCCACTGGTTGTAAATCAATAATGATATAACAGTCATCGGAGGAGGCGGCGTTTGTGGAGGGATTAGGGGGGAAAAAGAGAGTGAGAATAAGCTGCAAGTCGGATTTCGTGCATAAGTCTCTCAGTGCATCTTAGCGCAAATTGAATTCAGGCACACGGCTAGAAAAATTAATTCAGCTTTACAAAGCCAGGAGAGGTTAAACACTTTATGTGCTGCTCAGTGATCCAAATCAGGGAGAAAACATTCAGAGGTGTTCTGACTGCGACTGCTGCGTTGGCTGCGATCTTCATTATGGAAAAAAGTAAATACATTTATCTGAGGAACAGTCTGATAATGAGGTCTGGAGTTTTGGTATTTTAGATATTGACTTTACTCTCTGTGCCAATATTGTGAGATTAGTGCTTTAATACACTGAAAAATATACACTGCAGATTATAATGAATTTTCCTGCTATAAAAAGTGGAAGTATTGTGATGTTTTTATTTATATTTTTCTGCTACCTAGAATACAGTATACTGGCTAAAGACAAGTGATCATCCTGAAGCCAGTCCTTCTGAGAAACCAATAAGAGACCCAGGAGAATTTAGCCTCCTTTACCTTATAGATTTAGACAGAGATTGACTTTTTCAAGTGACCTGAAAATTGAATATCAGCTGCAGTCAAGTCACTTGGTGAAAGTCTGCTCTACAGTATATTCAACTTACTGTTAGGTTAAATTAGGGGTTACATTAAAATGCAATTATAATGTTTTTCTCTAAGTGCAGTAATTCAGTGTTATATTTTAAGACAGTCCTTAAAGTCAATAATGCATCGCAGTTGTACTAAAATATAATGTAATTTGAACTAAATATCGTTGTGACACAGGATTGATGTAACTATGAGAATTAATTGTTCCAACCATGGGTCACAGTTGGGATCCTACCTATAATTACTATCTTAAGTTTCAAGTACAAACTGACAAATCCTTAAGGTTAAAATGCAGTCTTCTTAAGACATACCAAAATTTTTTACTAATTTACTTAATTCGCTTCCACACTGCACGGTTGAAGAAACATCATGGAGCTGCCTTTGCGTAAAAGATTTCAGACACTTTTATTATTGTACAAGTGGGACCAGTGTAATGAGAGCGTTGACACCCTTGAACATGAAAGACATTTTTTTTCTTAGCTGTATTTACAGAGAAGTGTCTTCACATCACGCACACAGACAAAAAAAAAAAACCAAAAAAAAAAAAACCAAATCCTTCAACAAAATGGACCGTGTGTAAATAACATAAGAATTAAATAAACTCCACCTACCTTTAGGTTTACAGCTGAATATGCATATGATGACCATCTCTGCACTGCATAGAATTTTTACATATAGGTTCCTTGTGAGCACAATGGGCTATTTGATAATAATAACAATGAAAATAATAATAGTTATAATAATAATACTGATCTCATGATGCATATTGGCGGCCAGTGAAAAAACATAAACGAGAACTAAGTCTTTGGCAAATGCAAATACATTCACTTAAACTGATGATTTAAAATAAAAAATAAAAAATGACTTGGCCTGAAACATGGAGGAGCTGACGTCAGGAGGAGAGAAAAATGTTTAAGGCATTGAGCTGGAAGCTTCACTCTGCTCAGGGACACGATCAGATTGGATCGGAGTTTCTCCAGAAACTTCCGGCGTGAGGAATGACGCTGACGTGACTTGAAATGGCTGTTGTATCCTATCACTGTGGTTGAATGCCAAAGACCTAATCAAACTTAAATAAACAGGTGAGCCGTGACAATAACATACAGTAGTAATAGTGCACGTCGAGACAGAGTGACAGGATGAGTTTTAAAAGTAAAAAAAAAAAAAATTGAAACCGCAAGTGCCTTCTCAGACCGAAACCCACACGACTTACAGTCGTCTCAATGGAATAAAGCAAATATGCCTGGTCGTTTTTCTGCATAATAACACTCCAGTGTTGCAAACCTCCAAAATAGTGCAAATTAAAAAAAAAAATCTCAAAGAAAACACAAGGCTTCCCCATGTAACCTTTTGTAACCTGACAAATAAGAAGTAGTAAAACACTAGCCAAGCAGTCTGCAGTGTAGTCATTAGGAATTATAAAAATGAAATAAAAAAATTATTTTAGGAATATATTTACTAGTATCTTGAAACCTTGCAAACAGCGAGTCGTGGTGATATATTGCCACGGCGTTGTCTAGTTTCAAACCGATGTTTCTTTATTTAGTTCATTTTTCATTTTTACATCTTGATTGTGTTTCACAGAGTTCATGTCCTAATCTTCTCATGGCATCGAAGGTCATGCTGGATGTTTGGTCGATGACTGTTCTGATGAATAAATAATAATAATAAAACACTGGCCAGACGCAGTCTGCACGTGTTGCTGAATCTTCTTCCATCGCAACTATGCTGCCGTTTGAGTTGATTGGTTGAGGGGTGAGAAAAGCAAAAAAAAAAAAAAAAAAAGCTTCTGCTGCTACAATTTCAGCTCTGGACGGCATCCCTGCTGAGAGCCTCGGAGGAAAGGAATGTGGAATATTGATCCAGGATGGGGTAAAACTCTGACACTGCTACAGGGGGAAAATAAATTCAGGATATTTTTTGTTTTCAGTCCTTTTTCTTTTCTTTTTTTCTCTCTTTTTTTTAAATAAAAAAACAGGTCGATTAGCCGTTGTGTGTAGCATCTCTGAGTGTCTCTGGTGGTGTCTGGTAGATTTTTTTTGGCTTTAAGTGTCCAAAAATGCCACGAAGAAAGAGGAAGGAAGTCGTCTGGGTTCTCCTCGGGAAATGTTGGGTTTTTTTTTTTTTAAGTGTGAGGAACATTTTAATGCGCAGTTGCTCAGTGTCCACTGGACCATGCCGCTCACACGGGAGCAATATGGAGGCTGAGGCCATGGTCCTGCAGGTTGATTTGGTTTCCATGGTAACTAGTGACGGTCATAGGCAGTGGCAGCAGTGGGAGGGGCGGAGCCTCTCGATGCGGCACTATAATAATAAGGGGAACCTGAAAGTTAACAGAAGAACGGACTGTTTGAAAATTTTGCATTTTTTTACAACTGCCATAAGTAAATCATCAGGATGAGCTTCAAAGACTCTGTCGCTGTCAATCACAGACTTGGCCCAATCATATTTCACTGTCCTCTGTACTAGCAGAGATACCTTTCCCTTTAGGATTGTACTTTTTGCATCATCAGTTTTCTGTGCATGAATAAAGGACAGAGACAAAGGCTCTGATTGGAGTTTCAGCTAATTGTTCTCATCCTTTTATTATTATTATTATTGTTTTACACTCACTTAGTAATGCTGGGTTGCTGAATCGCCAGGCTTCGTTGTAGGTCGTGTACTGTGGATGACTGTAGGGGTTCCCCGAAAACTCGCTCCCTGCAAAACAAAACAACAAATCAATTAGCATTTCAATGCGTCAAACCATTACTCCTTCACATGCAGCCATTCCTCGTCAGGATGCAATTTGAGGGGGAAAATGATAGTCATCGTCGTGCGACCAGTCAAGCAAGTAATTTATTTCTTTTTCATTTCACTTAAGTTATGCAACGCTGAACAATACAGGATGTGACACTGAAGGCGGCTTTCCCTGTCCCATTTATGGATCTCAACCCATTCTTCTTCCCCCACTATATTCCAAACGGGCCTAATAAATACGGAGCGGTAATAAACTGTTTCATGCATACATTTTTGATACGTCGCAATAAATCCTGGAGCCCGTCCTGGAGAATTTTTTAACATGTGAAACACCTCCGGTCCGAGCTCCGGTGTTGCCCGCGACAGAATTTTCATTGCAGGGGAAGTAACACGGAGCATGTCAGTGAGCACTGCTGTTGGTTCAACACGTTTCTTTCTTTTTACGAGACAATAAAGGCCAGATTTTATACCAGGCTGGTGAGAAATGGCTTTGCTTTAACGGTGTTTTGTGCGCTCTCACTAAATCTTAGAGGTTGTGTATGGGATGAATGGATCGCAACACAAAGAAACCACGACCCATGGGATTAAGGCCCGGCTTTCCCTTTTTCTATGTGCCATTTAAGGACACATGGAGAGTACATGTATGTTTGACTGGCACTTTGGCACACACACTTTTCTTTTTAACAGGTTCCTTAGTTAAAGTCTATACTAACAGTGGTTGGCTGGTGGCTCTGGGGGTAAATCCTGCTGTGCGCTTAATTGTTGTCCCCGAAATGGAGGAAAAGAAAGTGTCGTGTCAAGGACACAAATAACATATGCAAATTCACTTCTGGTGACTACTATTATGTCTATATGTCAATATATGGCTATTTTATTTTAAGCAGTCAGTTACGTAAACATAAAGGAATCATAGGACTCATCCTTTTTGTGCCAGAGTTATGTTCACTTGCCTGAACAACAGTATGTTTCAAATTTCATATTCATCAGCAGGGATGTTACTCTTTGGCTGAACTCTTCTGTGTGAAGATGCTTGGACTCAGAAGGAGGCGGCAATAACACTCAATGAATGCAAAGCTGCAGTTTATATTCAAACAAGCAAAGAGCTACAGAGCCAGTAATGACGTAAACTAACAAATACAATCAGGCCTGGAACACACACACACTTTGTTATTTATCTTTATGTACTGGCAATAAAGAGAAAAGGATAGTTTTTATTAATTTTTTTTTCATATTTGGTAATGTAGTTGTTTATATGGATTAATCAGGATTATTGATGATTAATCATCAAAATGACTATGATTGTGTCAATGTTTAAACAACAGAAAGAAGAGAATGTCCTTCACAATGATCCGTAAATCATTAGAAAATATCAAAAGTCTGTCTCTTCCCTATCCACATATTTATGCACCAAAATTGACCAAGATACACATATCTGTAGCTGGCAGGCTGCCTTTATTAATTATTGAAAATAAATCCAACATAATATGAATTTAAAGTGGGATTATTCTGAGCTAATTATTTATCTTAATTCTAATTTCTAATTGTTTATTGGAAAAATATCTCCAAATATTTGGATTTGACGTACTGAGAGTCAGAAACCAACATGTAGGTCATGCGACCTCCATGGCTGCGGAGATAACGTTTCATGTCCCAGCAGGTCTTTGTTCAGGAGGACAGGGAAACAGTGGAGTCTGCGATTGGCTGTATAATTGGTAAAAGATATGCTCACACAGCACACACTCCACTGGTTTCCTTGTTCCTGTGCTTCAATCACATTCAAGCAAAGTGTTATTTGTGTTACGTGGATAGAGGATTTAGAACGTGGTGCCTCTGTGTTTCACACCAGCACCATGGCTCGGGCCTGGTCATCTGAGAGAGAAATGGCCATTTGAATATTTACCAAGCTCCCATGCTTCTGCCTTTTGACCCTTAACTGTTTGCTGTGAACCTTAACGCTGGGTTAAGTAGAGGTGGGGTAGGATATGCTCTGGAGCACCAGGGCTGCGGTGGGCTGCTGGTGCTGTATATCAATGGTTGGTTAGAAGTGGAAGATGCGGGAAGATAATGATCCAATAAGGCAGAGAGGAGAGAAGGGAGGAGAGCGGGGCGACCGTCCTCTCCCTCGTCTCTGATCACTTATTCAGCCTGTCTAATCCAATCATACACACACGGCTAATATAAGAGGTGTGTGTGCCTGCAGCTCCGCAGGTCAATACTGTGTAATTTGGTGCTAAAAGCTCCTGGCTGTGCTTCTGAGCTCCTTACACCTGTTCATTTCAGGGCCACCTGTTAAATGGACCCTGGTGACGGCACGGAGCGGAAATACAGTATGGTCTCTCACTCACCAGGAACCATTCCAGCAAGTGTGGAGGTTGGGTAGCTGCCCTGGCCTGTGGGGGGGACGTGAGGTGGATACCCTGGTAGGGTTGTGTTAGCCATGTCTCGACCTGCAGGGGCACAAGACACAAACAAAATCACACATCAGGACCTCTGAGGTTCCATTTATAACCTCTTCTTCATGTGAAATAATAACATAATAATAATACAAAAATATTAACTACATAATTATCATTACATAAATACATTTGTAATAGCTTAAATAAATAATAATGAAAATATTCTTTGAAATATCTATGTACTGTTTGTCTGATTTACGGCTAAAGTTTGTAGCATGAGGCCGTTTGAAAGATAATATTTGAAAGATATGTCTAGGAAGCAGCAAATCCATTTTAAAGAAGTACTTTGTGGGATGCTAATATGTGGTGCGATGTGATTGGCTCTTTGCGTTTGACAAGGTTTTATGGCATTGCCATGTAAATGCAGCTAATTGTATTTACTCCCCGTACGGTTGGTTGCCTGGTTCAGTTCATCGGCGCTTATTTACATATATGATGACACAGATATTTCACATGTTGAATCTGGATCAGTGGATTCATGTATAATTAAGTGCATCTTTAGAAGACTAGATTGTATTTCATTTTATATGGCTGCATTAGAAAGACTTTTATTCGTGTCTGCTTTTAGCGCTCCGTTCCAAAAAGTAAACATGGTACGTCTTCTTACATCAGTGTTGAAAGGACAAAAAAGCTACAGATCTGTGGAAGCATCACCGCCAACAACTCACACACAACCAGTCTTGACAACGTTCAGAGCAGACACTCCTCTTAAAAGTGCTGGATTTAACAACTTTACTGCACGTCTCCATAGCTGGAGTACAAGAGGAAAACAAGCTCCAGAAAAAAAATCCGGTTGATTCTCCTTTTTGTCTGAACAACAGGCCCCTCTGCTCGGTTCCACACATTTGCAAATATTCAGCAGTGTAATTGAGAATGACAGCTGGGATGTCCTCACTGACCACGGGGACATTTGGGCTGCAGCCTGTAACCCCAATCTGCAGCAAAGGCCGAGGAGGGAGAGGCCCCAACCACAATGTCAGCAGTGAGGGACGCATGGGCTCGCTCAAAGGAGAAAACAGAAAACAGAAAATCCTCTTCCAGTGAAGCTTTAATGAGGAGCCCGTCAACAAAATGCAGCATAACGCCACAAAGGCAGCAGTTGTTCACATTGTTGTGACAACAATTCAACTTCAGGAAAACATGATGACTAATGGCAAAGAAATGTCTGCTCCTTATTTGCCTGAAAATTGAAAATAAATTAGAAAAAGTTCTTATCATAGTAACCTTTAAAAATTCAACAGAGATCTGATCAAATAACATTTAAATGTTTTAAAATTATCATTTTAAAGTTTCAGATTTTTGTAATTTTTTTTTTATACAATATATGATCCATAGTGGTGAAGTAAATTTCATCCAGTACTCTATTCAGTAGACTCTCTCTGGTATAGAAATAATAAATAGTAAAAATAAAAAATAAAAAAAATAAATAAAATCAGCCCAATCGCAAACTATTCAAAACTAGAACTTCAAAAAGTGGCTAAAAATCAACTTTTTAAACCCAGCATATCTCAGACAATTCGTCTGCTCAGTCGTGAGAGGATGAGGCCTGTGGGTAATGAAGTGCTTGTGCCAGCAGTGTCAGGCCTGCTGTGGGCCACAAGGAGGCAGAGGGGGAGAAACAGCTGGTAAATCTGGTGAAGAAGCAGGGTGGCAGGCCTGGAGGTCAGCAGGACACAGGAGGAACCAGAGGGAGTGAGTCAGTGAAATGAAAAGCTCTACAATAGCCAGAATTTTACTTAATATAAATAGTGTATGAACATGAGAGCTGTAAACACCCTGTGATTTTACCGTCAAAAAACGTCACATCTTTATATATTTTATGTATAAACACAGGCAAAAAAACAATAAAATTGGAAAATCAGAAACAGTCTATTTAATTGTGATGAACGGACTGACTGATGAAGTCAGTTTGATTTTGGTCACTGTGGTCTGCTACACATAAACAAACAAATTGGTGCAAAATTGCAGTTAAAAAATACAGCAAAAATGCACAGCCTTCTTATTAAAAAACTGACTGTGTTTTAAATGTACAGTACTTTTTTTTCCCAATTTTCTGCAGCATCAGAAAATGTTCAGTCAAATCACCACCTGGCTGTTGTCAAGTGTTACAGCTCCTCTGTGTGTCACTCCGCAAACGCACGCTTCAGTGTCAGAAGACGTGCATTTTCGCAGTCCTTTATGTTCAAAGTCAACGATGAAAAAAAATAAATCAGGTTTTATGCTAAACAAGTGTTCTGGACTATTTGCAGGCGTCAGCACCACATGCTGAGCTGCACTGGTTCCAACTTGAAACACTGAGAATGTGCAGAGTCTAAGATCTGCACAGAGAAGAGTGAGGTCACGCCGGAACATTCTGTTATAACAAGAATTAGTTAGCCACAAGCCACTGCACAGAAGTCAAAGGGAGCGGTGGGAGTGCGATATGTGGGAGGTCCAGCAGGGGTGAGGCCACTGTGTGTGTGTGTGTGTGTGTGTGCGTGTGTAACGTGTCTCAGCCCACACTCATCCTGTCTTTTCTTTCTTATTACTGGAGCAGATAAGAACTTGTCTTGTCAAAAACACATCGAATAATTTCAAATTCTACTTTTTAAAATATATATTTACTTTAAGTATTGAAAAAAAGTTCAAAGTTTTTTTTAATAGATTAACTAACTTTATTCTAGGCTGGTCAGTCTTCCTTAGTTAATGGATGATCAATATTAGCCCCGATATGATTGAATGATTGATTAACAGCATCAATACTTTCAGCTCAACCCTTGTGGGAACAGTTCGACTTTTATTCTAGTCTTACACAAGGCAGAAAAAGCAAATATCGCCTAAATATTTAAATATTCGCCTTCATGTTACACAGATATACATTTTTCTTATCCTTATATAAATGCTTGATATCCTGCAGCAGTCTGTTTACATCCCACGCTGACTCTGATTATCAGTGCCAGCTTTTGTGTATTCCAGGATACAGTTGGCAGTGATTGCCAGCAGCTCTGTGAGCGTTGCTTTATGTCCCCTTTAAAGCCCTCTTTCTGTGAGGCGCCGGTTGAGAGAACTCTCTGTACAGCAATGATAGCCTCATTAGCTGTTTCCTAGCTTTTGTTGTTTTTACAACAGAGATGTGTGTCCAGATTCTCATTAAAAGATGGGCTTTTTTTTGTCTGCTTCCTCTGACAGTTCGTTTAGATTGAATGCCGGAAAATCAACATAATTATTATTTTTTTCTTTTGAAGAATAATTCATAAATACTTATGCTAGAAACTGTTTTTAAGTAGCTTTTTACTGTTAGTTTTGCACTGCATTTAGAGCAGAAATACTTTTAATGAACAAGACTGAGACTGTTTCCTGGACCAAAAAGAAATTTTTTTTTCGCCATCACTTATTTCTACCAGAGACAAAGATTCATGACTTTTGTTTTTATCATTGCCCATGACGTGACAGGAAACCTAATGCAGAGCTTTTACATTTCCATCAACTCAGTTTCTTAAAACACAAACTGAAGAGCAGCGCGACCTTGTCTTTATCTGGCACGGGAACAAAGTCGTTTGCGAGAGACTCTTTTTTTGCTAGCAAGAGTATTAAATTTAGCATGACAGGGACTCCTTCATGTTTGCTACAACAACAACCGAAAAATCTTTGACCTCTATTTCCCGGGCTATGTGCAGAATGGGGCAATTTATCACCAGCCAAAAAATCTCAGCACCCTAATTAATTACAACTAAGTAAAGAATGTTTGGAGAGCCAAATTGCTTTAATTCCCCAAACGCTGGCTGAAAGTCATTCATTATCAAATGTGTGCTCAAAGGTTAGTTTGCTTTTGTGAAGACGAACTAAGCATTAATTTCTGTGCCTGACTTGGTATTCTCCCCTGTGTAAAGGGAGGCGAGCAGTTTGTCACCGAGCCACACGTTTGCCGTGTGATCATTGCTCGTTGCTCAGTGCACACCGGCGGGGGCCTTAATGCTGTCTGTCCAGTTCACCCTCAGAGCCCCGGCTCACCTTAATTGGATTTTAAGTGTGGATTAATGTATTTGTTGAGTGAAAGTTTTTGTTTAGGAAGGAGGATAAAGGCGCGTGTGTGTGAGCAGATACTTGAGGAGGAGAAGTGCTTATTGACACGCAGGACTTCAGTCCTGTGGATGCCTCCATTAACGGCCTCAGCAGGGGAATATGTTTAAAGAGACCTCCGTATGCAGCCATTGAGTGCAGGCTGCGAAAACTCACACTGAAGGCTCAGGGGAACCCACTCAGCACAAGAAGGACCTCTAGAAATCTGAAGGGCCATCGACGAAACAGGAGGGCTCCGACTCATTTCAGGAAATACAGAGACCCTCTATAGAAACAGCAGACAATTGGCTGTATCAAGGCCATCTCTCTCTTTTTCTCTCCGTTTATTTCTTAAAATACACACAAAAAAAAGTTCCAAACTCCTTCTTTGGCTATTCATAAATTCACCCGCGGCCCACACTGTATGAATTTTAAGCGGTTCGAGCGAACAAGAATAAGAAGCAGTTGAGATGAAATCCATCTCTCGGAGGGAATTCATCAAAGAAATGACTTCCCATATCAACAATAGAAATTACCTCACAATATGCGATTGTCCCATGCACATATTCATGGAACCCTTTGGTGTTTTTATGAGGTAAGAGGGACTATTTAGCAGGTAATACGGCATTAATGTGGAGGAGAAGGAAAGGAAAAAAACAGGCCTGTTTAATGGATGTGGTTTCTTGCCTCTGAATTTCGATGATGTGCACAATGCCCTTAAATCCCTTTCTTATTTGAGACCACTTCGCAGGTGCTTTTGAGTCTTTAATAGGATAAGCAGAGGACACAATAGATTTCTATCTCTCAACTATTTCACTTCAGTGGGAATCCCAATCACTGGCAAAGAGCACTTCATGAATCATTCATTTCTAATAGATTATGCAAATGGCGTGACATAAAATCAACAAGATCAATAACTTTGGGCGTTTTAATTGGCCAACGAAGGCATTTTAGGATGAACATAATCTCGAGTCCTTTCCCCACCCGTAAAAACACAATTAATTTCAAATTGGATCTCAGCCTAAATACTGCGGATAATTTACTACTTTTTGCTTGACTAAAAATTTCTCTGCAAGGCTTATCGCTGGCAAGTAAACTGTGATACTCAGCCATTAGAGAGACCGCACACACCTGAGTCTAATCCAAAAGGGAAGCGGAGCCGCTAACCAAATACTAATTACAGAGGGGAAGTCAGATAAATGCTCGGTTACCTTGGTTTGATCTCTGCACACTCTATATCTCCTCTGCCAGGAAGGTTTAAAGGGCGAGTCCAAGTAAACAGAAAAATAATATGAAATAAATCAGTTCTCTCTGAAGGAGGAGTCATGTTGCTGTGGTTATGACAAAAAATGGGTGATTTTCTTTTAATATCCAGGTCCTTGAAGACTTTGAATATCTCACACTCAAAAAGTTTTCAATCCTTGAAGGATGCAGATTTGCATCCTGGTAGAGGGTGCTGTTTTGCAAAGTTTGAATGTAGAAGAACTAGAGGAGAGTAAATAAAGTTCTGGGGAGTTGTCACAATAATGTCACAGGTGTACAGCTCCCCTAAACAGAGGCGAGTGTGTGTGTGTGTAGAGGTGTAGTACACAGGCCAGCGAACCATCGTTTGGGCCACTGGTTCTTTAAACGCTTGCTAACCTTCCCTTTCTAATGTCTACATCTAAACGCAGCAGTTATATTTGTTAAACCTGTTTTTACCAGAATTAAGGAATTCTGATCTGTAACAGCGCACTTAGTGTACAACCAGGGAATTGCAATGGAGTCCACAGTGCCCCCTGCAGAGCAAGCCAGGAGAGTTGCATAATTTTCTCATCACCAGAGGTCATCGTTCAATGGAAAAGTGCACTTTCATCCAAACACACACACACACACTGATAATGCACACAATCTCATCTTTCTTCTTCACAACGTCTCTTTGCACCTGTAATGCAGGAAGCAGACCCTTGTGCAGAGACCATCTAAAATATCCCAGGTGCAGACAAAGCCGCCTGCAGAGGCAGGTCTGCTTTCTACAGGGTCATCAGTGCACAAAGGACAAACACACACCTTTCTTCTCAGGAGGCCTGCCTTACAGGGGAAATCTACCTCCCACATATTAATGAGAAAAGGCCTCTTTATTTTCTCGTAAGACTGCTTGGCTGTATCACTTGAGAAGGGGGGCTGCTGCAATTTTCAATCACCCTGTCCTCCCCCATGCAGAACTCGTTGCCTTTGATGGCTGCGGCGTAATTATATGAATTTTAATAAAACCCCCGTATATTAATCTCGGGCCCTCAGACAGTCATCGTAAAACTTTCCGTAAACTTAACCTTCTTCTTGGTAATACGGCAACAACGAAACAATATTTCAATTAGCCAGGCAGTCATTAAGTGTGACAAGGAGAGGTGGAACAGAGAGAAAAAGAGAGACGCAGGGGAGGGGAGGGGGGAGGGTAGGGTGGAGTGGAGTGGAGGGAGAAATAAATGATCACGGTGTTGTGTTTAGGCGGCAGAAATGCCAGAGTGTATTTACCGGGGAACATTACTCGTTCTTTGAGACACACAAACTGTCTCCTGGTGCACAAATCACAGGAGCAACACAGCGGCGGCCAACAAGCATTCAGTGCTGCACGGTGGCCTTTTTTTTTCTTACCCAGAGACCTTGCTCTGATACACAGTCATAGTTCTGATGTGCTGACACCTAAAGGTCCTTGTCCAGTGGTGACTGAACAGCTCGCCCCCCCGCCCCTAATCTTTCTTATGGCTCTGCTTGTTCAGCAAAAAAGCAGACAGACGACAGCTGCTGAGCTTTTATCACATGGTCGCACCACCTTTTCAGCTCGGAGTGAAACAGTATTAAAAAGTCTTCACACTCAACTTTTTGGTTGGCCTTTATTCACATGCATTTCTCTTTCTCGTGTCAGTGGCACAGACATCGATTTGCGGTTACATCCGTCTTTCAGAGATCGGCGGCTCAGAGGCGATACTGAACGGCACTTGATCTTACCTACAGGGTAGCTTTGCGACACACTGGGGCCCAAGTCTGGGTTGGCGCTGGAGGATAAACTGGGTTTGACTTCGTCCAAGCTGGAATTCAGGGCAGGGAGCGAGTACTCATTAGCCTGGGAAAAGGACAGTTGAATCATTACACAACCAAACAATACCTAGATGGAAATCCTCCCTTCTCCTCCTCCATTAAGCGCTCCACACATGCCCTGTGTGAGTATAAATTTGTATGAGGCCATTGTGTGTGTGTGTGTGTGTGTGTGTTCAGTGCAGGGTGGCAGTCCAAGCATATCATGAATGTATTCCGGTATTGTCTGAGAGGAAGTGGGATTTTAAGATGAGTGAAAAGCCAAGGCGTCAGCTGGCCCTTTGTGCTTGACTGCAGTTCTAGCCCTGATCAGCCAAGAGAGAAGGCATTTCTGCTTTGTTACAGACACACCATGTGGTCCTGGTCAAGACCCAACATTTAAAGAATTTTTGCTTTAATCTGGAGTCTTTTCCACCCCAAATGTCATCTCCTGAGTCGCTTGTAAGTGTTCGAGGTTTGCCTCTAGATGTCATTATCTCCTGAGTCACTTGTAAGTGTTCGAGGTTTGCCTCTAGCAAGACTTTAGGAGTGAAGGACTGGTAAAAGAAGTAGTTCTGGACTTGTTTGTCAGAGTTACTCAACTGTAAAGCTTGTGTTAAAAGAAGTTTTGAATTTGTGATATAATTGGATCTGGGTAATTTGACTTTTATTTATTAGTACAAAAAACTTTTTTTGTAAGTTTTTGTCTTAAATCAATAAATCAAATCAAAATACTAAATGTTCATGCCCCTCCAGAATTTTTTTTTTTTTAGATATGCTAAAGGGCATCTCCTTCTATATTATTAGAGTTTTTCTTGTAATTATTAATTTAAAATGGCAGTTAGGACAGTTTATTTAAGACAAAATCTTGCAGAAAAAAATCACAAAACATTGTTGTAATTTAGACAAGGTGTCCATTTAAGTTAAGAACGTTATCTGAAAAATAATTGCCTCCCACTTTTCCTTTCATCCTCCCGTTTCCCATTGTAAAGCCACTAAAAAGGCACTCATGCCAGATGTTAGCAGGTTTGTTCTTAATGAGATGAGACTTACGAAGCCTGAGTGTTGACAACGTTTGTCCAAAAGCCCAGTGTGAGCCACAGTGGCTCAGTGGACTCGGTCCCACAGGGGGGGACGCCTGTGACCCCGCTCTTGTCTGCCACTATCACCGATAAACTCTAATTGTCTGCTACAACTGTTCACTGGCACAATGTCGGATGTTTTCCTCTATTCTCCGAGGCTTCAGACGCCAAACAGACGTTTTATCATGCAGATAAAGGGCAGGAGGGGGGGAAACTGAAAAGATAGGTCTGAAAGGGATGACCAAATGGCTAGCAGAAGTGTGGGAGGGGTGAATCCATTGAGTTTTGCATCTCCAGAATGGGTTTTTAATGCCTCGCTACAGAACCCAGACACTGGCTAATAGGGCCACATTTTCCAGGGGAGGAAAAAAACGGCGGCCATGAAAGGGAAAGTGCTCTGATTAATATTGCATTAAATTAAAGCTGATTTTTCTGGACTGTTCTTGGCCCCTTTCCTTTTTTTCTTACCCACTCGCCCCCCACCTTTTTTTTCATCCTGACCCCTTTTCCCTCTGCCTTTTAATACTCTCCCCGACGTTCTTTGTGATTGCAAGTCATTTCCAATTCGTTTTGGTATTGATCTTCCAGTAGAAATCAGTTTTGTAATTAGCTGCAAATTAGGCCCTCTTCTGGAGGTGAGGCCTGTCCCACTGATTTATCACCTGCGTAATTCGCCCCGATTGGAAAGAAATTAAAATGAACTCAATTAGGTGACTGCTTTTGCTTTATGGGCCCAAGTTGTAGTTTGGTGGGTGAAATTAATAGTCTCTTGTTGTTTAATAGTATAATGAAAGTAAATAAAGGTTATCCATTGTAATAAGCTCGGAGCTTTTAATAAGCAGCACTTTCTGGCTGTGGTTTTGGTGAGGGGGTGGCAGTGGCCCAAATCCTCACTAATGTTGGAAATGAGGATGGATGTTGTCGTCTAATATCAGAGGAGGTGATACATACAGAGATGCAAATGTTTCCAGCATACTTTTCACAGACACGTGTATCAAATGACTGCAGCTTGAAAATAAACAAGCGGTCTAAGACAATAAAAACAGCAGCTGAATAACAACAGAAATGAAGAAAAAAAAAATCTCAGTATCGATTAATTTCATGTTGCCTTACTGTTATTCTCAATTATAAGGGATACAAGAAACGTGTTTTTCATCAGAAAATCAATAGTGTGTGGGAGTTTTCTTTTGATCCCTGCAGCATTATACATGCTGGTTTCTAATCCAGCGCTCAACCATCACCGGCGTTTGTTTAATTAGCTTTCCTTTCTGGATATGTTCTGGGAATATTTGCGAATTAGTTGTTTTGGCTTCTCTCTTTTTTTTTTCAAATTCATGTGTGCAAGAGATGCAAAAAATTGTGAAAGCAGAAAAAGCCACTGACCTGTTCGGGTTTGATATGCTCCGGGGTAGGGAAGACGTCAGGGTACGGAGGGCGTTCAAAGACCCGGTCCAACGCTTCCAGCTGCTGCTGGGTAAAGGCATCTGCCCTCAGGTGTTTCCGTAAACTCTCCACACTACCCTGAGAATCACTGTTTGGGCCAGAACCATCTGAACCATCTATAAGAAGAAAGAGCAACAATCGAGACACTGACCCCGGGGAAGCTGGCCTTGACTTCAAGCTATGCACTTTATATTCTCCTCATGTTTTCTTTTTTTTTTTTTTTCTGTACCACCTTTGTGTGTGGGTCCTGAGGAGGACAGAAAAAAAGATGGAGTGCAGGTTTTTCAGCCACTGCCTCCATCATACAGACTTTTCCTTGTTTTTCCCTGTACGCCCCCCCCCCCCCCCCCCCCCCGTCCCAAGCCCACCTCCCCGCGCACACCCACAACCTTTGATTTAAAAGCTCTCCGATAATTGATACATTACCTCCACTTGCAAATAAATACATGTTGCGGGAAGCATGTATACTAATGAAACAGCAGCTCTGGTGCATGTTTTTCCCTCGCTCAAATGATTTTATTTCTTCAAACTGGTGTTTGCTGAAATTAAAAGCATTCCTTCTTTTAGAAAAAAAGAAAGAAAAAACCCTCTACAATTTCCCTTCTTTAATTCAGCGCCGCCCTGCTTTCATTCTTTGTGATTGTGTGGTTCCATTTGGAAACAGCGGCGGAGGACAAGAGGCTGAATAAAATCGTACATTCAGCTTCAATCATCCTGCACACCAAAACATGGGAATTTTCTCCAGACTCCTGACCTGATTACCCCACTGTTGGGAGAAGGATGTCTTAGCTTTTCCCCGTATCACTTGTGTGCAATGGTTTGATGCCTTTTTACAGACCATTCTCCCCCCCCCCCCCTTTCCTCCATCACCCCTTTTACACCTCTCCTGGCCGCAGTGTCTGTGTCTGCCGGTCTCCTTCCCAGATCCCAGAAAGCTTCAGCTCCCTTACAAATCTGTCATTCTAAATTTGCTGCAGATTATGTTCTCCCCTCAGTGGGAGAGTAGTGATATATGATATGCAAGGCCCCTATTGATTGCCTGATCTGGTGGCAAGAGGGAGCTGAAATGAACTTGAAATGAACATCATGCCTCAACTCATTGTGCGTATAATACTCTACTTAATCCCACATTTTTCTCTGCCATGGAATTCAATTGATCAATCATGTCTGTGTGATAGTACCATTTGGGAGGGTTATTGCCATCCTATTCTGCTGCTTGACCTTTTTTCACAGACTGAGGCCAGAGGATGAACCCGACTCTCACATGAAGAGCTAAAGGAGCTATAAAAGAAAATGTAGTCGTGTGTGTGTGTGAGTGTGAGTGTGTGTACGTGCAGCTCTCTTTAAACTCAAATTGTGCTTATGATTGGTAATAAATTAACTACAAGCTTGCTGACAATATCATTTTAACAATTTATTTTATTTCCACTGTACGGCAGACTGAAGTGGGATTTATTCAAAAGCTATTAATGGGACCAGTTACTAATTCATATTTAATAATCTATGACTACCAGTCAACAGTTTATTTGAAAATGTTAATTTTTTATGTTTATTTTATTTTTATTTGTATGTTAAAATTGACACAATAAATATTAGTCAGGTGTCTATATATATTTAAATTTGGAGACATTGCTGTAATTAAAGCATTATTCATAAGGAGGCTCCTTTAAGGCTAGGAGGCCTTGATTTACACTGTACACAGTATCCCCTATTGTTTCACTTTATAAAATAATAAATAATAAACAATCTCTTTTTATTGTATCATACTGTAGTATCATATCATATCATGTCGTGTGGTATCATAACATGATAGTATCATACCATACACTACCATGTTTTATTGCATCGCATCGTATTGCTTTATATCATATCGTATCACATCTCTCGTAATGTGTTATACTGATTCTTATAATCCTGATTTAATAGTAATTTATATATTAATACTTCACTGCATTATAACTCATTGCATTGACTTGCATAACGATCCAGGTCATTTGTACCGATTGCGTTTTGTAGTCAATCTCGTTCTGCCTGATTAAAAACAGCATCTCTGCAAGTTACAATATATCCCTCGTGTGTTGTTGAAATATGAACACAAATCTTTGTTTTACTCACACATGTTTGTACACTGTTGATTCTGATTCTGGGAGAAGACATTTGACACTCTGGGAAATGTGCTTTTAATCTGTTTGCACCAGTTGATTGATCAGTGCTGCTACCACCCCTGTCTGTTGAACTGGTACGCTGTGAAATCAGGTACGACTTGTTTAGCATCACGATGGCAACAACGAGGCACTAACTTCTGAGAGGTAGAGACACCTGACTGTTGCTGCCTCTTGACATATCAGTTAACACATGATTTGTCAATTTCCTTTGTTGGAAAAAAAAAACCCTCAATGTGCTTTAACAACAAGTTGATGTCTCTGTCCTCAGGCTAAAGAGCTAATTGCTTGTTGTAGCTGGTTCTAAACCAGCAGAAAGACCATATAAATTTCCCGAACTTTTCTTAACGTGCGAAGGCTTTGACGCATTCAGGTGAATATTATGCATGTTTTATGGCCCTCACCTTGAATAGCTGCTGCCTATCACTTTATCAAACCCAATTGTCCTCGTTGGGACCGAGGCAAATAGAGTCATTAATTACCCTCCATCAGCCGGCCCAGGCCACGCCGGCTGATCAATACCCTCCACAATATTTGTCATTCACCACTGAAGAATACACTTCCCACACGCAAGACAAACCATCCTGGGTCATCGTCTTCCTCCCACTCAGATGGACGACAGTCCCATCTGCCCTCCCTGCTACTCATTCCCAGCTGACAAATTAGCAACAACTGTGCTCTGTGGATGAAAATGAGTTCAGAGTGACTCTGGTCAATCCTGTGTCAGCATTTAACCTCTGATTCTATTCAGCATTATGTGTAGAATATAATTATATATCTTCATGAGCTACGGGGGTGGCCGAAAAGTACCCGACTTAAAAACATTTATTGTGTTTCTGGTCAATAGGAAATTTGAATTTTATTATTTGATATTCTTTATATATTAAATATATAAAGAATATCAAGTTCTGATGTCACACAATCAGTTCAGGTCGTGATGGAAAAACATAAACAACTGTGTTGTTCGCCAGTTACCAGTCGCAGAGGCGATTGTACACAGTAAAATTGTAGATTCAAAATATTCAGAAATGTTGCTTAGACAACGATGAACTGTGAAAAACTATGATTTGTTCTGGGTGGAAATGTATATTTCCGTATTGTATTGCCAGAAGAAGTAATGAAGTAGATGGCAGTGGTGTAAATACTGGTTATATGGGTTAGAGCTGATAAAAACAGAGACCCAGAATCCAGAAGTCCTACTCAATTATTGTGTTATACCGCGGTGAGACTAATCTTTGACCACAGTGGCTTTGTTGGTGCGTTACATGCTTATCTTGCTCTGCGGTTGTTTATTGATCATCAGTGGAGTTGAGTGTATTCATCTTGACATCAGTCTGTATTAACACTCTGGTAACGAGGGAGCGGCTTCTATCAGATCAGATAACCAGCTCTACAAAACAGACCCCTCTCTGTGGGTTTGGCACCCAGAGGTCACGACCCCCAGCTGGAGGCTCCAGCCAACGCAACCGTGGGTCTGGGTGAGAGTCTGATGGACTGCCAGCCGAACAAAACCAGTTAGCATTAATAAGGCCTTGATTGAAAATGTCCAAATGTCTGACTGAGGAGGAGAGTTTATTTTCCCTCACGTTGTCCAGAATTCTTGCGTAATGCAAAAGAAGGATCTGCTGGCACTTTAGGGTCACAGGGAAGTCTCCGCTTCCCCAAAAGGCTGCTCCCTTGTTTACATAACATGTCAACATACATCCGCTCTGGTTCCCTCAACACAGTGTTTCATATTTGGCAATAATTTCCCGTCTGATTCCATTCCTGGCTAAATGAAATCAAATTAAATCTCATTTGCATTTTATTGGATAAACTTGAGTGCATTTTGGTTTTCTAATTGAACGGTTTGTTTATGAAAACATAAATTGAATCACAATCGTCAAGATCTGCCATCGGTTATGAAATAGAATGGATGCTAAAAATCGACATCTTTACCAGAGATGTTTTACCAATAAAGACATTCTCCACTTTTCTCCTCGTCTGGAGTCGCCACAGGGACAGTCCACACAGATCTGACTGATCCGACGCTACAGTTCCATTTCTGAAACTTTGGACTTTAGCAACATTTTTGGTCCACTCACTCATAGTGTATATTAAGTGGCATTATGCCTTTAACCTTCCAACCCTTCTGCCTAGAAAAGGCAGAATATGTTCCATAAAAATAGCTTTTTTTTAATTTAGACTTTACACTTCATAAATTCCCGTGTTGATTCTTCTTCCTGCCCAAAACAGATGTTCACACATGGAGCCGGGTGTGACGTTAGCCTGCCCCATCACTCATCTCCATCCTCACGCATGGGTTCAGTCCTCGCGACGCTCGCAGATGAAATAATTAATGCAACAGCTACTGAAGCACAGAATCACATCAGTTCTCACCGCCATTGGCTATTGTTGTTGGCCTATATAAAACATGATGATGGACCTGTCGTGAAATTTGTCTCGTGAAGAAAGGTCGACACAAAAGGTTGGCACGATTTGAGAATGTTGAAGAAAGTTCAGAATTGGTTACAGGTTCGATTGTGAGATCAGAAAAGGACGCCGCGCCGTGTGACTTTGAAAGCATGGACACACTTCATGGACGCCGCATGTTCTCAACAGACCTTCTAGCTTTCTGCTCAGGTCCATTTTATCTGTGGCACACATTTGAACTGACAAGGAGGTGAACAAAAACATCGGCGTGGGCCGACTTGTGGTTAAACGTTAGACGCTTTGTGGAGCATCATCGTTTCGCGGTTGAAGCAGTTGTAGCTTCTCCTTTTGTCTTTTCTGAAGCCTACAGTGTCAGGAGCAGCGGGGGGGGGG